TTTTTTTTTTTTTATATTTGCATCAAATATACCATTTTTAATAAATTTGCTTACATCTAAATTTGTCTACATTTGTGTGTGTGTGTGTGTGTGTGTTTATGAAAAGGCAAAATTGCAGTCTAGTACATATATTTATTTATTTTGGCATAATAAGACAGTAATTAAAAAAATATATGCAAAGAATAAAAAAAAATAGAAAAAGAAAAGTGCGTAAAAATTGCATGATTTTTTGAATTACTGTCTATTTTACCAAAAAAAAAAAAAAAAAAAAAAAAAAAGAAAAAAAAAAGAAAAAAAAAAGTGTAATTAATTTTGTCAATCGCCACAAATTACTATGCAGAAATTGCAATTTTTGTCTTTTAAGGAAGAAAGATCTTAGCAAATTGCTATATAATAATACAAAATATTAGGGAAAAAAAATTATTTCCCAATGGTTACATAAATATAAAAATAAATATAGAAAAAAAAAAGTATCTTATTTTGTCAATTGCCAAAAATTACTATGCAGAAAATGCAATTTTTGTCTTGTTAAAGAAGAAAAATCTTATCAAATTGACATAATAATACAAAAAATTATTTAAAAAAAAAAGAAAATTGATTATTTATCACAGAATAATGCTAAGGAGTCAACAATCAATGGGAAAGCTCCATGTAGGGCTGTCCCACATTGGAGCCGACTGGGACAGTCCCACATTGGAGCCGACTGGGACAGTCCCACATGGAACTGTCACATTGGTTGTTTGTTTCGTAACGGAGCCAACAATTGGCTACTTAGCATTATTGTTATTTATCAATGATTACATGTAAAATATGTTTGTATGTCGAAAATTGCATTCTATTATAATTTAAGGTTCATACAGTCAAATATACAAAACGGAAAGGACTAATAAATAATAATACCAAACCTGGATAATAACCAAGAGAAGAAACCTGCGTTGCCCACAATCCTCCACCGCCGCCGCCTCCGAATCCCGGCTCCGCCACCGGAGATCCTCCCAAGGGCGGCGGAGCCTCGTCATCCTCCGCCTTCCGGAGAACAAACTGGCCCATTTTCCGGCGACGGTAAGCGGTCGACTGTTCCCGGTACTTTCGGGCCATGATGACGTGCCAATGGTTCTTAACAGCATTATCCGTCCGGCCCGGGAATAGTCGGGCTATCATGGCCCATTTGTTGCCGTATAGCCGGTGGGCCGCCATTAGCCTCTCCTCCTCCTCCTCCGTGAAGGCCCGCCGGTTTATTCTCGGGTCCAGCTGGTTGAACCACCTCAGCCTACAACTTTTCCCTAAACCCAAAAAAAAAAATAAAAATAAAAAAATAAAGAAAAGTCACTAATTTCCAGTGGTCCGACGTAACCGTTAAACGGGTCGACCCGTCTGATAATGCTTAATATACGTAGTTTTGTGTAGTGGAAAAAGAAAATTCTGAGAATGTGAAATGACGAAATTGCACCTGATCTGCCTTGTAACTTCTCGGCAATGAGGTTCCAATTTTGGGGTCCATAAAGGGCGACGAGCTCCCGGAGCTTGGAGTCCTCGGCCGGCCGCCAGTGGCCGCGGGAGCAGAGCTTCGGCTGGCCGCCGCTGAGCGGCGACAGTACGTCACTGCCCCCGGCGGCGTTTGGGGAGTCGGACATGACCTCGTCCTCGTTGAGGCTCGCGTTTAAATCGAACATCGTCATTTCTTGATTTTCTCCGAACAAATGGTGGCGGGTTGAGTTCGGGTTTACGAAGATGCCCGCCATTTATGTGATGATGTGTTTTGATGAATTAGAATGTACGTATATATGTGTATATATATATATATATATACAAAATAAATTAAGCACAAATTAATTTTTTTATTTATTTTTATTTAGGTGATTTTCTGACAAATTAATGGTGGTTAGAGACTACTGTTACTGAGGTCAGGTGTGAGTGTGTGAAGGGGGGAAAAGGAGTAATAAGGAAAAGATTTTGGGAAGATGAGTGAAAATGAAAGAGAGAAAATGGACTTTTTATTTATTTTTTTTTTATTTTTTATTTTTTTTTTTTTTT